TGGATGACCTAAGTATAGAACTTCCTCTCATGAATTTACCACTTGGTGTAGGTAGGTAGTACGGATGTTTTGTTGTCTTCGAATGACTGGTAAGTCGTCGATCATGTCGTGATTTATGCGTTTGAAGTGTCTGGGGGTCGCAATTTGCTGTTTGGAACGCTCGCTGTAGGTTGAGATGATGCCGCGGGCAGGGAGAAGTCATGAAAAGAGCCAAGAGCAGGAAAAGGTATTGGTGGCCGAGTGAAGTTGGGTGTGGACGAACCGCTTCTTCTACGGGGCGTTTGACCAAATAGTTGTGGTGTGCTTCACCGCTGGCGATTACACGGAACTCCCTATGGTAAGTATACGATGGGATGAGAAGGACGGTTTGGAGGTTGCATCTTCCAGATTGGGATGGTCTCTTCTTGGTGTTGGGGGTTACAAGCTGTTAAAAACGATGAACCGAGCTTGTGATCTGAAACCACATGGAAAATGTTTTGTGTATCTCACGAAGAGCAAAGCATGAAAAGAGAGAGGTGAAGATTCACCAGTCATGATATCAAACCATCGCCGGCGTGTGAGCAAGGTGAGGAGGAGGACGAATTTTCAGGAACAACCAACGCACCCGTGCTCTGCTGTAATTCTGAAATTTTTATCTCGTCTCGAGATATTCTCTGAAGTGAACAGAGTGAGGAAGCCATACTCACCGAGGTCAAGCATTCACCGTTACTAATATCACCAGCTCTGTTTCATGCCCTCGTCTCAATCAGTCCCCTCAACCCACAGTCACCTGATATCTGGAAGTGTCTCGCCCCCTATCTCAGTTTCGATATGCTAGTCCTACTGCACACAATAACCTCCAGTCATAACCTCATCTTCGTCCCGTACCCTAGAAACGATGGAATTCGCACGTACATGTAATTGTCGGCGGCTTGACCCGCCCTGACAGGAAGCTTCATAATGCAGGCGTCATCTTCCTCCCCCACCGGAATTGGTCGTCTAACTTCATCTATCCGATCTTTGGTTCAACCGCGCACTGGACCCCCAACATTACAATGACATCCTGTCAGTATCAATTCTTAGACTCAGTTTGTCCCTCCAACCGTTTTGCCCGGACTTTTGCTTGCTGTCATCTGACCGGCAGCTTGGAACTTGAGGCCCAGAGGGCATGAATAAGGAGAGGCATTTGAAAGGACACTCACTGATTTCTCCCCATCTTTCCCTCCCAAACACCCAAACTTATCTCGAAGATGAATCCTTTAATCCAGATTTCTCATGGGTCTATATTTGTTGCCTGGTTGCCCCCAACGAAAGTGTCATCTTCATTTCCATCTCCAGCACCCGTCCCAGATACCTGCATCATCCTCCCCGTCCCCCAACGATCGCATACCCTGGTGAGCACTTCTCCGAACAATATTTACTTAAAAGCCCCATCATGAAAAAGCCAGATCAAAGTCCCACCTGTCAGCAGGCTTTGGCTTGTTCGATTGACGAAGGAGGCGGTGCATTGTGCGAGTGTCCAGACCGACCCGATTCCATCGTGCCTTCCATTTGTTTGAGGACCCCTGAGTGTCAGCGAAAGCGCACTTGAAGGCTCAAGCGTGCCTTCCTTGTCTGAGCTTGCACCGAGAACTCAATCGATCCCACAAATGATCTCTGCAATTTCACGGACACATCCGATGCTAGCCGGCCGGCACAGAGTACGTGCCAGACAACGGTGTTGAGGGAAGGTTAAGTAAGGCTCAGGATAGTACTGGCGCGCATGACCATGATGACCTGCAGTGGAGATTTAGTCCCACGACCTTAAACGGCTCTCACTTACCTGCCTTGTGCTCATCATATTGTTATTCAAGACATGTTGAAAGGAAAAGTATGTTGATTTTGGCACAAAGGAACACAACATGGTCGGCGGTGTGAATCAAAAGAGTATCTTGCTAATATCTAGGGTATCTTGCTGTTCACCATCCATGCATCACCCAATCCTGGCCCAGCGGGAAGGCTATCGCTGCGAAAGAAATGCATGCAAATACAACCAAGGATCCTCATTATCTCCTGGTTCCTCCATCCTCTCCCTCTCAGCTCTTTTTACAGTCACCATTTGCCCAGTGATCCTATGTCTAATGCATGTTCTTGGCCCTCTATCAAGTCCCAATGTACGTGAGCGATTAGGATGCTCAGTGGTGTGAAAACGCAAAAACAAAATTGGTGTCGGAACTGCATGACCAAGGTTCATCATGTGCTCCTTGTCCCAGCCATACCCCCCAAACCGACCCATGGCCTCAGTTTTGTTCAACTCAAAGAGATATGCCCGAAGTGTAACCGGTGGAATGGCAATTCGTTTTGAAATAGTCATAAAATAGCCGCGTCGTGACCTCAACGCCCTCTGTTTGTCGCCCCCGAAAGATACGATGTGACTAAATAGGGACAAACACGACCATATTAAACGCCAATGCAATGCAAACCATGCAAAAGAAAAAGAATAACGACCAAGAGGCAAAACGTAATGGTACAGGGAGTCAATGCGTTTGTAGAAAGAAGATCATCCTCGTGAACTAAATGCCTAAGATTGAATGCTAACGCCTTGGTTGCTGTGAATATGCAGATGTCGTCGGTGGAAGGTCCCGTAAAGGCAACGAAAACGATTGACGAAAGGCAGGGATAGGCTCCTGATACCGACCGGCTCCTGCCATTGTCAACCCACTATTGGGCATGGCGAATTCTGGAACAATGCCCGTGCGCACCTCATTCCGCCGCCCAAGCGGTTGGTAGTGTAGCTGAGTCGGAGGGATCGGGTTCGGAAGATGGTATTGCTGGAGAAAGGCCGATGGCGGGGGATGAAGCAGTGTTTCGGCATGTCGGACTGGTCTGTACGGGCTCGTCCGCTGTTGAAGATATATATTGGAAGGAGAACTTGACATCGGAGTATGTATGAGCGGCTCGCCGATGGGAGATGAACCAAGATAAGCCCCGCTTGAGGTCAGGCTGTGCTGAGACTGTAGGCGGCTCGCAGGCAAGGCATACTGAGAGGTCGGATGAGCCGTTGTCGAAGCTGCAACGACGGTCGACGGCGAAACACCAGAGCCGCTGGTCGGCAAGATTGATGGAATGGGAGCAGCCGTCGATGTGGAGTTGAGGTAGGTCGAAGCCATGCCCGGGGCAGGTAGAAGGATGGGAGGCAAAGAAATCATGCTCTCCGGCGCGTAGCTGACGCGGGAATAGACTTCACCCGGGAGCGTATTTGCCGTGGATGATTGAGCGTTGTTCAGTGTCAAATTTGATACCGACAAGCGCGCTTGCTTTGAGGCTATATCGCTCGTCGATGGAAGCGGTGCACAGGCAAATTCTCGAGGATTTCTGAGGGCTTGAGGTGCTGTTACTGTGGGATATAGAGTCTCCGAGGAGGCGTACGGCTTCAACGGCGTCCGACGTTTAGCTGGCGGCTCTGAAAGATCAAACTCTGGCATGCTCCTCTTTCGGCTTAACGGCGTGCTTGCCGGGTTCCAGATTGGGGTTTGGCCGGCCGCATGGGTCGGCCAACCTTGGCCAGAGCTCTGCTTCGCATAGAAACTCGCGCTTGGTGACTGTCCGGCCAGAGTCGGCTGCAGCGGTGAGGGAAAGTGCTGGACTGTAGTGGGAGAGGGCAAAGCTGAAACGGGGAGGGCGTTTGGTGACGGTGCCAACAGATCTGCTGGTGAAGGGACTTGTCGCGCTCGCTCCAAATATTCGCGGAATCTAGCCAGTTTGACCAGCCATTCTTCCCACTGCTTCTCGGTGACCAGGAGGCTGTATCGCATATTTCCCAGGAACTCCACTTCCATAACATGGATCTCGTTTACCGAAAGCTGGGAGACCTCGGACCACGTCTTGTTGGTGTATGTGTTGTCGTCGAGAAACTTGTTTGCTAACATCAGCGCGACCGTGAGCAGCCGGTACTCACTGCCTGGGAGCCCATGCATTTTGGGGTTCAGAACCTTGAGTCGATGGATGTACAAGAGAGACAGAAGAATGACATTCTGTGTCACCTGGGTAGTTGACAAGAGGTTATGGACCCATTTCTTGAAGTTGGGGCAAGCGATGGCCGGCCCCTCGATCCGCCGTACAGGGGCGCCTGGGCGAAGGGCATCGTAAGTCGCAGCCTGCTCAAGTAACTTTGAGGTTTCGAACCAAAACAAGGCAGTCAGATCGGCCACCAAATCCGAGAGACTTCCGCCTTTGGGGCTGATACATGCCGGAACCTGCAAGCTGTGGAGTGCCATGGCGGCATCCCGCGCCGAGATCTCCTGTTCTCGTCTGATTGGGCTTGGTGAGGGCGGTCTTGACGGCCGCTGTGAAGATGGCTGCCGTGACTGGTGCTGTTGCTTTTGCTGCTGTTGTTGTTGGTGTTGTGGGACGTATAGTTGTGGATACTGCCGCCGTGGTGAAGACGGCTGCCGTGACTGGTGCTGCTGCTGTTGGTATTGCTGGTGCTGCTGGACATAGCCTCGCTGTGCCAAACCTGTATTCGAACTGGTAGACGAAGCGGCAGTCGACCGTTGCTGTGGATTGGGAAGGTAAATTGACTGTGTATCCGAGTAAGAAGATAGTGACTCGGAGTGGAACATGTGAGCCAAATCTCGAGGCGGCCTTTGGGACACAGCACTACAGCTGGAAAGTGCTGGGAGAGTTGAGTGGGTGTAGGACCTATATTGTTCGTAGGAAGGGGTCAAGTTTGGCACTTGGTATGTGGTACCCATGTCGTCGTCGTAGGGCGGCGTCTGAAGACCACCGGCACTGCTTGAATTTGAGTTCTTGATGAGATTTCCGTAGCGGCGCCAGCCAGATACGAGTGATTGGGTCGTCCACCGGTCAACAGGAGACTGATGATGACTTAAGATGGGCGACGAGGAGGGGAGAGGGTTTTGACACCGCGTCCTGGCGAGATACATGCCGCGAGAAAGCTCGTTCTTGACGACGGGGGAGACAGTCGATATGACGTGGCGGGGGGGAAGAGTCCGACGACGACAAACTGCTGCACAAGTGACTGGTAAGTGAGCAATTGGTCAAGTTCACTTGACGATACGGCTTTCAGATCTGGATCAGAGCTCTGAGGTCAGAAGGCACCCAGCCAGCATACGGCAATGCTTCCTTCTCTTTTTCTCTGCCGTGGTCTCTTTTTGCCTTCAAGTGCGTGGTGCTTCAACTTGTCCGAGTGGGGTCGTTTTTGCAATTCGAAACTGGACTGGCGGAGATCGAGGACGGGAAGTGTGTTGGTGACTGGTTTTCTATGTCGCTCCTTCCAATATCGAATTCGAATCGACTCTTGCCGGCAGTCCAAGGCAGGCGCGAAAGGACATGCGGCGTCGCGCGGGACGACTCAGAGGCAACTTCCAAAGTGCTCCAGTCGCAACTCGTTGAAGCTTAACCGGATCGAGGGGACGAGCTACCTAATTCAGGTACCGGGCCAAGTGATGTGTCGCTCCTTTGACCGTAGTCCTTTATGGAGAACGCCTCCCTTTGCGACAGGACAAGCTCGGATCAAGATGGGCGCAATGGGCGCAATGAAGCTTTGTCTGCGGAGGACTCTCTTCGCTGGAATGACACCCTGGATTGGCAAAGAACAGGATGTAACATGGAGGGAAGAAGAAGGGGGGGAAGATTCGAGTCGTTGGTGCCCGGGTCCGGGTCCGTGTCGTGTCGTGTCCTGTCGTTCTCGCGATCGAGGTAATGTGGGCGTGGTCGTTGCCGTGGATGTCCGTTGTTGTTCGTGTTTCCTCTTTATCTTGCACACACTTCCACCGTGACCCTTTCTGGTGACAATGGAATGGTGGTGACGGGAGGGTGAGGCACTGGTCACAGCAAAGCCCCTGGTGACGACGGATGATAGTCTGAGGCTGAAAGGGAAAGAAGAATGAATAATAAGTCGAAGGTTGTTTGAATGCCCCAAGTGAAGGGGGGGAGGGATACCGGTCAGGGTACCTCTATCTCTAGGGATGGAGGAGGAGGATAATGAAGGAAACAGAAGGAGTCGAGGTGAAAACCTCCATTTCCTCTGCCATGATCCATGTTGGGTTTGGGGTTGAAGGAGGTCATGGTCCCGTCACGGTGTTCCGTTCGATTGCTTCCTCTTTCCCCGTCGTGGTTGCGTACTAGTATGTATCCGTATCGGGTGAGTACCAAAAAAGTGAATTTGGGAAGCGTGTCAGTGGGGATCCCATGTTTCCATGTTGGGACGGTCCCGTTGCGACATGCTTGTCTGCTTCCATAGGTCACTGCCACTAGTGGACCCCGGCCTTGTGGTCTGGTCTTTCCACTCCCAGGTCCCGTCTTCCACTTCTTCCTCTTGCGAGAATGCGGGACCCGCTGCCAGTGTCATTCTCTTTTTGAGGTACGGTGATACCTCTTTTTGCTTACCCTACATCCAAGGCGTATGTATGTACTGCGCACTAGAGGGGGGTACACGACTGACCAGCAATGGAAATTGCATCCAAGCCATTTTTACGCTTCTTTGATCTTGCTGAGCCAGAGATTGTTGCATCGCGAGGTATTGGGGCTTGGTACTTACTTACGCAGCACTCAGCCAAGTATCGTTGATGACCGAATGTCGTTGTCAGCACATTCCGACGGAATCTTCCTCGAGGTTTTGGTGCTGACCAGTCACGGCCCGTATCTTGCATCGGGTCCGTCCTGGATGCAAAAAAGGGAAGAAGGCTCCAGCAGCTGCGTCCAGTTGCCACCGCCGGTCGCGTAAAGTGCCTCGCCCTCGACACCATCTGGCTTGAATGTGGAACGGGCAGATCCAGTCCTCCGTGCCAACGCTGCCTCTGACTGGCTGGAGAGTCTCTGCTCCATTGGGTCGATTGGTGGATCACGCACCAAGGGCGGTCCGGGGTCCTTGCCTCTTTCCATGTCGTTGAACGCGCTGCATGGCCCGCTTGGTGCTCCTTCCACTACGATTTTCTTGGCTTTGTACCCCCGTAGGAAAGAACGAGCAGGACAGAAAGTGTGAGCAGTGAGCACAACCTGCAACGAAGCAACTTGAATTGCCAGTCGGTTCCGGTTAGGAAAGGTACTTGGATATGTACTCCCATAATCTGCCGTTTGATTCGTCGGTTGTCAGGCACCCCGTGGGCGTCTTACCGTGCCTGACTCTTGTCTTTCACACAGGAAGAATGGGTGATGGTGGTGAGGTAGGGGCAGTGGCCAGTGGGCAGTGGACACACGGACCTGGGCTCCACAAAAAGGACCCATGTACCAATCAAATTACACCTTTCTTCCTAGCTGGCATTGCTCTCACTCGACCACTGGGCCACTGGCACACACACTCTGACACTGCAGTTGTTCTCGGCTGTCTTTCCTCTCGTTTTCATCAGTCAGTCCCAGTCGCAGATCAGAAAAAAAATGAAGGTCTCGGCGAGGATACGAACACTTTTGCAGGCCGCGCGGTTTGAGCGACTTTTCCCCTCGTTTCTCTTTTTATCTCTGACTTCCATGAAAACAGTTTAGCGCGTCCGGAGATCCATTCATATTGACCTCATCCCTGCCGTCAACGGCTTCTCCTTTTGTTTCCCTCCGTCGGGATTCAACACACACACATTGCGACTGAGGTCAGCGTCACCGGACTAGCAAACCACAGACCGCCAACCGAAGCTGGAGAAGAACGTGCTACACGTACATACAATACATAGCTCTAGCTGACCCGGCCCCGCCCGGCCAATACCGTACAGCCCCTCCTCGTTTGTACGGTCCCAAGTTGCAGCACCGCACCCCCCCTAGGGCCCTAGGCCCCTAGAGTTATTGCGGCCATAACCTTGTCCAGCCAACATAACAGCGGGCATATGGTATAACGAAACACACATCGAATGGCACCAAAACCAGGTGCAACACCAATCATGCTAGCCGTGGTTTGAGTGTCTGTGTTGGTTGTTGCTTTCGCTTGCTCATGCTGTCTGAGCCCTGCCACGGCCTGAGATCAGTTGGCGTCAGATGAGGAGACTGAGAGCAGCTTTGCCTGTCTGCCTCGCCCTTCAAACGCATTACCATGTCGGCCCTTGCTGGACCTGGTGTCTCACGCAGGAAATGGATGCATAGGTAGAAGAGGTACTGCTAGGACTGGAACCTTTGTCCACGCACTGTTATCGTCGGAGTGGCCTTCATCTCTGCCATGTCTACCATGTCGAGCATATCCCTCCTCGCTGTTGATGCAGTGGAGAAACAAGGACCGCTCGCCCACTTTATCACCATAACCACCCAAAAGTAAAAAGGAGGCACGGGCTTTGCGTTGCTTGGCTTCTCCTGGGTTTGGCTTGGTGCCGGGCAATTGATAGCCTGTTGAAAAAGCCTCGCCCACAGTTCAAGCCATGCCCTGTACGGTATCAGTCTACCAATCAAAAGTCAAAGCCGCCAGTGTCGATTCGCGGGTCCCAAGTGGCTGGCCCCCTCTCCGTGTCTCCAACTTTCCTCTCCATGCCACCAAAAGGGGGGTTTATCCATGACTTAAACCTCAGCGCATGGCCTCCGCCGTCCATCCAAAGATTAATCATGCCGTGATCAAAAAGCGAAACCACTTTTTTTTTTTCCAGCCAGCACCGCGTCACGACACCCACACAACCTTGTCAAGATTGATCAAAAGTGCAACGCTGGAGCGCTATTGAACACACAAGCCGCCCAACAAAGTCCTCTTTCGACAATGTACCCTTCGCCGGAACCATCAACCGCCACGGAACTCGCCCACTTAGACTCCCTCCCTTGAACTTGCTTTCCTGCCGCCGGGCCCGGGCAAAAGGCCTCCCTGGAGTCACTCTTGCGTCTTCAGCCTTTTTCGTCCGGAAAGTCTGGAAATAGAACGCCTCACGATGCATCCAACATGACTTCCAGACCTCCGACTAGAGACATAGCACATCGCACACGCACACAAACGCACGCGCACACGGACGGGATCCTCTTTATTAGAGCTGAATGATTGATGAGCGCAGGTCGATCTGAGGTCGCTTGCAGGTTTGTAGTACTCGTTGCCATTTCCAGAAACATCATGATGAGCACAACCTGGAGGAGCTGGCTGTGAAATGGAGCGTCAGCGACCCGCTCTTTTCCTGCCTCGCTTCCCATCTGGAATTCTGACCCCCAACTCAACCGTTTTGGATCCCAGTCTTGCAACTCACTTTGGTCGGCGTGTTTTCCCCTTTGCGGAAAACGACAAAAACTAAAAGGCTCAGCTCTGGATGGTTTGCGCCCAAACCTTGCCTAATGCGACAATTAAACGACATAACCCTTATCCTGGAGAAGCATCAGAAGCATAGAGCATGTATGTCATTGCTCGGCCACCAACAGCGCCAGCAGTGTAGTGTAAGCGTACCACATACGGTCATGACACTGCACGCATTATACCTCCACCCTGGTTCCATTTTCATCACTATTCATTCACTTGCTCCCAACTCTTGCGTCTTCCGTATATCCCTCTCCAGACAACCGCCCTTTGTCATGCTGGTCGGGTCTGGAAGTTACCAACCGACCGACTGCGGTTGGCCAGCTTTGCCAAGGGGACCAGAGGAGGGCGTGTGGGCGGCGTGGATGGACCGACACATGAAAAAGGGCCAGCCAGGAGCAAAAGGCTTGGTTCTGGCTTACTATCGATCTGCAACGCCAACAGATTGCTTTATTCGCAATTGTGACGGGGCGCCCATTACGAATTCACTCCAAAAAGTTGGATCCCGTCTTGTGTTTCGCACATATCTAACATCCCGTGCGAACGGAATGTGAAGGTCGTGGTGTAATGACCACACACGCACTGGATCCCTCAACACCGTCGAGGTCATCTAGTCGCCCGCGCCATCGCCCCCCAACTTGTAGCTCCCTGTGGCTTACATAAACAAATGCATCCTATGGACAAACCTGAAGGGCGGCGGTGCGGCATGATTGAGAAATGAAACAGCGGAATCCTGCGCCTTTGCCAGGTAACCAAGGTAACCAATTTGCTGCGGGCTTATAGCGGTGCATGGATGTTCACCATCTTAGAAAATTCGTGTGTATCCATCCGCAATGTTTGATCAGGTCTCGATCTGCCTACCGACCTGGTCCGAATGGGGACAGAAGAGAGTAGTTGGGATTGGGGGCACAGCTCAAGGATCAACGCCGTTCGGAATCAACAACTCCTCCGGCTTCTGCTGGTGTTAACTCGATACTGTACGCGCATAGCATACATAGTGCACGCATTTGCACGATAAGGATTTCGCCGGATCGAACAACAAAGCCAATGGAACCTCTACTCCATCACCAACGCGGAGTTACGAATCCGAGGGACGGATGAGCAACAAGCTTTTCGTACTTGAGTTGTAGAGCCTTGCTTCGAAATGTCCTGTCGGGGCTTTGGTTTGGATGCATAACTTGGCTCAACCGTCTCGGACTTTCTGGGTACGAGTACGCGCAGTTCCAAAAGCCTCGAGTTACCATGCGTGCAAACCATATCTTTTTGGTATGATAGGAGCTTCTTACTTCTCAGGGTTCTCGTCAATATCACTGGAGAATCAATTGCCTTGTTGGTCCAGAAAGGTGCCGCGGCCGGGGCAAAGTGCCTGCCTGTACCGCCCGACTTAGTTTGGTCTTGAAATGTTGCTGTAATCAGCACTCTCTGATGAATGATGAGGGGTATACACCCACTTTGTCGCATCGCTTGCGCTTGGGGTGGGTAGGAGTCGAAACGGATAAAATGTCGGTCGGCGACTGCCTGGCACAGTTGGTGCTTCATATCGAAATCATCGTTTGTCATCAGTCCGAGTGAATGAAAGGAAGAAAGTGCCGCCTTCATTCTCGGTGTCATGCAGATCCTACGATGTTGAGCGACGCCGTACAATAAAATCTGCGTATGTGCGGAATTGCTACCTCTAGCCTTCTTTTCCAGCTCTGCCAGCTTGCCAGCCTCTCCACCCTTTCCAGGATCCCGCGTTAGTGTCTGGTTTGTAAGGGACCATTGATGGATCAGAACTTGAGAAGCGATGTCGTCGTCCATTGGACTGGACCCCCAGTACATGGAGGTTCCGGGACACTGTAGGGCACAGCCGGGGAACCTTGGCCTGGGTTTTGTGAGGAGTCTCCGTTTTTGTCGATCCTTGATTGCTTTGTGTTGGTTCAAAGTGAGGTAGGATTTCCAATCCCATTTCATATACATACCAAGCAAGACGATATGAGCAGGAAGCGGCAAAGACCGCTTTGCTTACTTTTACTTGACCTGGTTCACAGCTTATTGGCAAGGTAAGTGCTGGAATCCGTCGGGTTACGTTAATATTATCATTTCCATAGTCCGAAACGAGGCGACATTGTAACCGGCATGGGGGAACGGTCAAAAAGATTGCAACGACAACAATAACGGGGACAGGAAATGCATGGTGGCAATACAATTGCCCAGATATCAAATGTCAACGAGACAATGACCGAGGCGGTTCGTAGGTCTCCTCCTCAGCCTGGTTGGCGTTTATTGGTGTTGGAGCACGATATGATGAAGTAACCAACCGGTAGGATATCACATCCGTATCCGTTTGGTGTCATGGAATTCTCCTTGTGCTCTCCTTCTGCTGAACGGATGGATGGACACGGCGGGTGGGATATGCTGCATATGATGTCCGTCCTCATCTTGGCTGCGACACCTACTGATTCATTTAATTCAAGATCACAACTTCTCAATTTGCTTGCCTTGCCGTGCTTGCCTAGTGGATTGGTTCCATCGAGACATGACACTCACACAGGAAAATGGTTCGAGCATCACTTTCGCGAACCGTCACGGCGGTCACCATATTGATTGCATACCTCACAGCACCCAGCAGCAGGGCCTCAGAGTGGTGAACGCTGAATTGAACTGTGATCCCTCCATACCTTCCCTTGTACCCGTACAGTGTGACAAGTATTGTGAATTTCTCGCTGTCTTGTCTCTTCCTTCGCTTTCATTAGCACTTACAGCAATGTCGAGGTGGTCAAGGTGGTCAGCCGCTTTTCTCCCAGGCGAGCTGCCAGACACGCCAGAAAAGAAAGCCATCGTTTGATTGGACTGACATGTATCATATCATGTTGCACTATGGCAACTCGAAGCCCGTTTTCTTGCACCACAACTTCTTTTTCGTCGTTGTCGCGGTCGGTCGGTTCAATTGTTGCTAGGGATCACCAACTGCAGTGGGCGTGATGGGATCCAACTCCAACAAAAAGCAGCCGAGCGAGTTGCAAAGGGCCGGTCCCTCCAACTGCAAGTTGCATGGGCTCCATGGGTGGATGGCCTCGCACGAAATCTCAAATGGAGCGTCCGCCCGCCCACCCGCGCGCGCTCCATCGTCAAGTGACGCGGACGGGCACGGCAGGGTGGACCCGGTGGAGGGTACTTCTAGGATGGTGGACAGCCGCCGAGCGGCCGGACATTGCAGTGGTGTCGCTACCGCCCGCCGGAGTGCCCAGTGACAATTGGCGATTGATTCGCTCGCGGGCCGGACTCTCTTTTCTCACTCATTCCACTTTGACGGCGCATTCCATCCCTTGTTCCCCAATATTCACCCCTTTTTCGTACATTGAAACTTCATTGGGCAACGGACGGCAACTTCTTTCTCTACTGGACCTCATAAAGTCACTTGGTCTCTCGGTGGTCTCGAACATGAAGAACATGGATGCTTGCTCGTCCGTCGTGCCCGTGATGAACACAAAATCTTTCACTTTGTGCAATGCCGTGTCCTGCCGCCTGGTCTCGATATGATCTAGCAAAACTATCAAGGTAATATTCTGTTTGCAACTCTGTCGGCGGGCCACTGCTTTGAGGGATAGTGTCTCGAAAGTGGCGGGCATGGGAGCATGGATTTGATGAACACCACTTTCCCGTACTGCACTGTTTGTCTGTGGAAGGGGACAGGCAAGTCACACTCGAAAGCCGCCGATTTTATCCATCACATGTCGCATTCACCGGATGAGAGGCTGTAGAAGGTTGTTGGCGCGGGCTTACGGCCGGCCTCTATTGAGCTGGTTTTCCTCTTTGATTGAGGACTTTCTGGGGTACTTGCTAACATCACTCCCAAACCATCACCATTTCGCTTGTTTGCAAAGTTTCAATCCCATTACATCTGATGTAATAGGAACTTTCACTTGTCCAGCGGGCTAAAGCCGTTCAGAGGGGCTATTTCCGGTGAAAACTTCCAGCACGACAGCATCAGGTATAAGCACCACATTCACCACAACGGCCTTGACTGATGAGGGCATTCAAGGACGAGCATATGTCCTGCATCTTTGGTATCATCTGAGAAAGCTTTGAGGCCACAGTTGACTATAAGAATATGGCTCTTACAGCCTTACTCACTCCTTTGGATCCTGCTTTGACCAACATCACGGCCGGCTCGAAGATGTGGAGCAAGCAGGGCGTATGTGTATAGACATACAAAGCACCCTGCTCCAAGTTTGTAAATCTATCGCCAGTAAGAATGTGAAGAGTAGCCCCTCCGAACTGATCTCGCCCGTGGGTACGGATTCTACCATAATACCACAAGCGTGACCTCTGACTGAACATCTCGTGGAAACCTGCCATGAAAGTAATCAGTATGCCGGGTTTTCAGTGTAAGTTGCCCGAAGCATGCATACATGGTCTGCTACTGCCAGATGAGGCGCCTAGCAGCACCTACGCATTCAAACGCTCCTGTGGCCCTGAGTCTGAAAGCAGTCGAGTTGGGAAAACGATACGGGCGTCGAATGCCCGTCAGAAGGTGATGAAAAGGAGAGCCACCCGTCGAGCAGTGTCTGGGAGCCTCGGTTCTGCCTCCAGTAGACATAACCTGATAGAGTGCATAACGGGGTGCACGAACCATGCGCGACTGAGGCCATCCGCGGAGCCTTCGGTCAGCACATACGGCATCGGTGTTGGTGTCGCAACCCGCCGGTGCTTTCAGGCAAGAAAGTGATCTTTAGGCTAAGCAGCAGGCCGAAGTTCGAAGCGGGTGGTTTCGCGGGTGCCTTGGAAAAGTCAAATGGGTGAATGGCCTTGCATCTCCGACGTCTCGCTGAAGACGCTCAGATTCGCGGGATTCATCTCGTCCCAACCGGTCCCGATTTGAAGCCATCCTTGCACAATTCATCACCACTCAACACCGATGATCACCGACGGCGACGGCCCACGGCCATTCAGTTCCGACTGGGTCACATCTAAGTCCCAGTCAGTATTGCGTATGAGTGACTATACTGGGGCAAACCTCTGGTCATAAAGGCCGGAGGTCAGCCTGGATGAAAATCTATCGATGGATCATAGACCCGGGATATCGGCTTTGTCGATGGACAATGCGCGTACCACAAAGGTCCCTTGTGGATTGCCTACGCGGGCAGGATTCTCCATGTCCGTCAATGCGCCGCTGGGTGCGCCGAGTGCGCCGAGTGATGGATGGCAGGGTGGTTCGGGTTCGGGTCAGTCGGGACATTGGATGGTCGAAACATGTACCTATCTTGACAGACAACAACAGGATTTTAGCGTCTGGAAAGTGTCTTTGTGATACGAACCTGACATGACCTCGTAGCCTGCCTGTCTGGAGGCAACAACCGGAGTTGGGAACCGCGCCATGTAAAACACAGATTCACCAACCGAAACAAGGCGCAATTCAGGCAAAAGTTTTGAAGTGATGGTCAATAAGATAGGACGACGACGGCGCAAAAACCATGCTTGCGGGCTGATGGGCTGGCTGACAACGAACAACGACCAACAGACAAACATGCGCGTCCCGGTTAATATGAGTTGAGCACTGCGGACGACATTCGTCTATAGCATATCTGTTGTTTGCCCTCGGCTGTGTCTTTTTGTCTTCCAACGTGAGACGAAGTTGGAGAATTTCAAGAGTTACCATGCACGTTACCCCACGCTCTTTGCCACGCCCGCACATTGCCACAAACTGGACGTAGCGGAACGGTGGGTGACCTCTGGAAGCATCAAAGAAAAGGCATTCTCGGTGGCTTTGGGTGGTCGGGACCAAAACCAAGAAAGTCCGATTGTGCTTGGCCAAGTCACATCGGAAAGCAATTGTTGGATCATGAGCCTTGTGACGGTGAAGTGGAGTGATGGTGTCGGAGTTGGTGACGATGCAAGCACAGCCAATGCACAAGTCGGCAAGTCAGTTCCAGTTTGTGAATCAATTTCCGTATGAAATAGGTACTCATCTGTGCACGTCCCATATTGTATTATGGAACAACATGGAAAGACAACTGGGTTTTGATTCAAAGCGGACGTCACGGGTGTGCGCATGCAAGTACAATCGTATGCGCAACACAGCAACTTTCACAAGGCCACTCAGACTTCCAATCCTGCCGATTCTCGTACGGGAAACAATCATCTGTGGCCTCGAACAAAAGGAAGCTGTTGTGATGCCCGCTCCATAGTACCAGACCTATACGCCGCATAGATATTCAGGGATTCCGGGTTGTTGGTGGTCCCCTTTGTCCGAGAGCGGATTGGAAAATGACGGACTTCGTGATGGATGCCTGCAGCCTGGATTGATTGATCAAGAAGAAAGAGAAGCGAACCTGGAAGTCAGATGCCGTGCAGTGGTGAGTGGTTGCCTCAATGGGGACTGACAGGCTGGAACATCATCCATTTGAGACGTGATAGTCCTCCGATAGGCGGCAGGACAAAACTTGCACGGTTTCCACCATGTTTCTGCTTCGGTTTCTGGAGTGCAACACTTCCTTTGACAGCTAGATCCATATTGGCTTATTGAAAATCAGGCGGAACAGAATTTGAACAACTCCGTCAACACAACGATGAATGCTGAAGATTCGAACGTCCTCGGTAAATATGTTGCACTGTATGAGATGCTACTCCACGCAGTAGGAACTTACGACGTGTGGCCGTTAGCTCGCTGTGCTGGCCTCCGGCAATCCTCCCGGACCCTTCACTAACAAAGAACTGTACATAAAATACATCAAATCTCTGCGTACTTGGCATCGTTTTCTGTAACGATTCAGATTGACCCGCACTTCATGTCCGTCTCCAGGTTTGAATGTCACCTCAAGCGGAAACCATCCAAAACCTATACCAAAGTCGGCGGAAGTTGGCGATGGCCCTCGATTGCACGATGACTGAGGAAAGGATACGGAAGGGAGGAAGGGGTGAAACAACGCCCGGGAAATGAAGCAAATTACTTACTGACATCTGGAAATGTCAAGACAATATCTTTAAAGATGTATCAAGTTTTTGTCTTGCTCTGGGCAGCTTGCGCTCTACTAGTTTTGCAACTCGAAACTTCATGAGTTCCCGCGGGCTGGGCCAAACACAGTCTTGAGCGATATGCATCAGCTCCCCTGTCAATCGGGTTACTTTGGGAGTTTTCTCGGGTTCAAAAGGACAGCAGATGCCACGCCTTTTCTTTTAATTCAACCTCTCATCTCGACCGTCAAGTCTTCACTCATACATCTGAGCATAATACATACTGAAGCCAAGAAGCGACCTCAACTATGAGCATTCCCGCGAAAAGGAAGGCAGCTTCGCCGGCACCTGAAACTCCGGCCCCCGCTGTGCCCAAGACGAAGACGCCGACTCCTGATCCCGTATCTCCTACTCCTGTGTCACCAACAGCTGCTGGTGAAGCCTCTGAGCCGGCTGAAAACTTCACTGGCGCACACTGGCTTCAACAAGGGTTACCGGAACCGGATGAGACAGATTCTACCCTAGGAAGTGACATCGAGAGTTCGACTGCCTCAATCTCCTCGAGCATCCTCAACTACCGGACTATTAACGGCCGAACCTATCACAGCGATGCAGTAACGAATGGCGAATATTGGGGTCCCAATGATCCCAAGCACCTCGACGCCCTGGAACTCTTTGCGCATGCTACCGATCTGATGATCGGTGGAAAGCTGCACTTTGCGCCCATCACAAAGGACATCAAACATACGATCGACATTGGCACAGGTATAGGGCTGTGGGCAATCGACTTCGCGGACGAATATCCCCAATGTGAAGTTATCGGCACGGATATTTCACCTGTCCAACCAAGCTGGTGCCCACCCAACCTAAGCTTCGAAATCAACGACGCTTCTAAGGAGTGGACTTTCAAACCCGACCACTTCGACTACGTCCATATCCGATTTTTGAATGGTGCCATCCCCGACTGGGCAGAGCTGTATAAGCAGGCATATCGGGTTTGCAAGCCAGGCGGTTGGATTGAACACCTCGACCTCTCATCTGTTCCAGTCTCTGATGACGACTCTATTGCCAAGGGGTCAGCACTGGAGCAGTACGGGATTTTGTTCAAGGAAGCTGGAAAGCGCCTAGGGCTAACCCAGACCATCGCCGAGGATAACCTGCAGGAAAATGGGTTGAAGGCGGCTGGATTCGTGAATCTGGCGGTGAAGGAGTTCAAAGTAAGCTGTTATACAAAGCCAGCATGAGTGCGCACAAACTGACTCTTCAATAATCCAGATGCCGGCCTCGCCTTGGCCACAGGACCAAAACTTGAAGAACGTTGGACTGTTCGTCAACACTGCAATATCTGGAGATATCGAGGGCATCATCCAGTACGTGTGCGGTAACGTTATGGGATGGTCGCAAGAAGAGATGGCGATCTATATAGCCCATCTGCGTAAGGAGCTTAAAGACAAGAGCATCCATGGGTATTGGAGGTGGAAGCTTGTGTATGCTCAGAAGCCATTGGAGTAAACTGCACGCACGGAAAAGATAGCATAGGACGGGAAGGGGGGCAACAATTGAAGGAAGCAGAGATAGGCTGAATCTGAGGCGGTGAGAAGGGTTGCGGATTGGTCTTTGAATGTCCTCAAGATAAAACCCTTCAAGAGATATCAGATTTGGGTCATCCACATGAACTTGACTTGTATTATTTGGCTACATACCTGAAGCGGACAAACGTGGACGTTTCTCATCTTCAATGTTGTCTATCAACCCGTATCGAGGTCTCTGGCTCTGAGTATCATACGTTCTCTTCTCAACTGTCTCGGAGTACTGTAACTCTCACGGGCGACACTGGCGCGTATACACCTGCACTTGAGGACGGAAGCTGAGATATGGATAAGCCGTTATCATCAGATCAGAAAGTCCAATCCCTTCATATCATTCTCGTTATCGATGCCACTCCAACCTCATGAATGAATAGTGAGGAGGTTGGCTCCGGAGATCGGAGTGAATGTCGGTCACCTGCAGTAAGGAGGAAGTCTGGACTTTCATCTCGAGGTTGGAAACAACTTGAGAGGTTCCTGGACAACAACACGTACTCGACGCAGAGACTCTTGTCCGACAAAGGTCCGAGGAAGAGACCAGGGCAATTCACGGGTAGCCTTCCCGTCGGACTCATATCAGTGTGTTCTCGCGGCATTGGCAGGAACGACCATGCCGACAGCCGGTAGTAGTCGCGCAGCGGCTCGTCGAGTCCCGAACGAGCAAACTTGTGACAAACGGAAGCAACGAACCGCAATCTGCCATGCCCGTACTATTTCCAAGACTCGATGCCAACGTGTTTTTCTCTTGTCGGACCCGGACCTCGGAGCGGAAAAATCTGGATGGCAACCTGAACTACAAGGGCTTCGGCGGGTTCAAGCGGATGATATGGGTGCAGCGCACCGTGTTTGCTTGGAGCTGTCAAACCAGAGCATGTGGGATGAACCTCGCCTATGTTTCTCGAGGCCCATGACTTCCGCTTTGTACGAATACCACGATCCCGTCTGCAGGGGAAAGTCCTCATCACCAGTAACGTGACTGGGCCATTGCGGTTGCCAACCTGAGTTCCTAGCTGATGGGAAGGTAGCTAAGCGGTTGAGGCTTCACTTGCCCGCCATTTTGTCCAATGTTCTTTTCTCGATAGCCAACAGGCTCCATCAATCGAGTTAGGAAGCTTACAGATCAAGGCAGGAACCCATTGCGAGATGAATGAGAACGGGATAGCCTCCATCTCTCCTTCCGTCCCATCAGCTTACCGCTCGAGAACCGGTACTAATTTCAGTGATATTGGTGTCGAGGATATGAGCGGAGCCAGCTATAAGAAGGAGCCACTCCTCGCATCAGCGTTCAGTTCTTCAATTGCTCTCATCAGTAGCACCTGCCAAACTTACAGTTCCCGAGCTCAACCCAGCAATCTTTCCACTCTTCCTTCCCCAACAGCTTCCCCAGCAATCATGACTTCACCGGCGGATCCTCATACCAGAACCTGGTCCCACATCAACGGATCATCTCAAGACGTGCTTGACCGCTATGCCGTCTCGGAGCTCTGCAAAGGCTGGCCTGTGTATCGCGACGCGTCAGAGTGGAAGAATTACCGCTCCCTCTTCACAGATGATGCCTGTGTGTGGACGAGTACGTACCTTGCCCAGCTCACAAGATTAGCTGGCAGATCCATGTTGCTAACATATCAACCTCTTAGCCTGGAGCAGCGCCTTGCCCGTTGACAAATTCATCCAAGTCTCCAAGGAGGGCAAGAAAAACGGCGTCTTCATTATGCACCGCGAATGCGGCACTCTGGCCGAACTCGGCGACAGCCGTACCCGGGCCATCGGAAAGATGAAGGCAACCATCACCCATCGCTTCAGCGAGGGCGGCGTGACATACGACGTCGACTGCGACTGCCGCTTCATCTTCTTTTGCGAAAAGCAGGCGGCTACCCAAGAGTGGAAGGCCAAGTACGTCAAGCTGTTCTACGAGAAGGACAAGGTAGTGCCAGTCGATGGCCAGACTGTACCGAAGTGGGACAAGTCCGAGCTGAGCACGTATCCGGAGGGGTATCGGCACCTTGCGATGGCGCAGGCCAAGCTGGGATACAAAATCGACGTGAACCTTCCTACGCCGCACGACAAGGGATTGTGGAAGCGCATGTATGGTGAGATCGAGAACTGGTTGGAAGGCAGAGAGGTTGATCTCCATTGGGCCTTGAGCTGATTCAAGAGTAACTGTTGGGTTTCCATGGTAGTGACGGGTAATTGATGTCGTGTTCGAGTGGTTTGCATGAGCCGTCTGGGTCGTGGCTCTTTACAAATTGAGGTTGAGATAGATATTACCTACTCAAAAGTAACAAAAAGGCAGTGTTTTTCCTTCTACCTGCAAAGCTTCGTGATCAGGCTTCATTGGGCGGGGAGATATGGTGCTTGCGTACACTCGAGCTGGAATCTATGCTAGAAGGGAGGTTTGTTGTTATTCTTAACGTCTAGTTCTGCTTCCCTAAGGGCATGAAGACGACACATGGAGGATTGCTCATTCCAGGTCTGGTAAGGATCGAGACCGCGGCAAGCATTTTCATTACATGCTGTGATCCGGGGCAAACGGGCTCTTCTCGGTACGAGTTCTTCAAAGTGCCAAGGAGACGCAATCGCGGCTTGGGCGACGGAATCGTGATTCGGCTGGCGTCCGGATCGGAGATGTGGAGTAAGCCGGGAGTGAGCCGGGCTGTAGGCCGGAAAGATGGAGCATCAACGGCCCCGGGCTCGACCTCGAACTAACAAGAGCTTATCGGTTATCTAATCGCCAAATGACCCCACCTCCTTCTGCCCCACCAATGACGGTCACGGTCGCGTCCAGCGGTTCTAGGTAATGGTAGTCCCCTAACAAAGTTGAAAGCCGACGCCTGCCAGCAACTCTCGCCGCAACTTGCGATTTTGCGACCGTCGACATAGCCAAGGTGTGTATAATCATCCATCGTCGCCGGAACTAACTCGTACAGTTGTTAACCGTGAAGGCTTGCAGCATCTACTTACCCATCGATTCTCCCTCGACCGAACACAAACATCATCACAATGTCGGACGGCGTCAAGCACATCAACTCGGCCCAGGAGTTTGCGACTCTCCTCAGCACGACCCAGTACGTCATCGCTGACTTCTACGCCGACTGGTGCGGGCCTTGCAAGGCCATTGCGCCCATGTATGCCCAGTTCGCGAAGACGTTCTCCATCCCCAACTTCCTCGCCTTTGCCAAGGTCAACGTCGATAGCGTCCAGCAGGTCGCCCAGCACTACCGTGTCTCCGCCATGCCCACCTTCCTCTTCTTCAAGAACGGCAAGCAGGTTGCCGTCAACGGTTCCGTCATGATCCAGGGCGCCGATGTCAACAGCTTGAGGGCCGCTGCCGAGAAGATGGGCCGTCTGGCAAAGGAGAAAGCTGCTGCCGCTGGCTCGTCGTGAGGTTCGGAAAGGAAAGAAGACAAATAAGAGAGATCAACAGCCTACAAAGATACCCAGTTGTTGATCAAGTGTACATACAGCATGGACATGCGCCTGACTTTTTCGGCGGGCTTCGCGATCAGTCGTTGCTGAGTGAACCGAATGGAAAACTGTCAGTTGTCACGGGTCAGGTTATGATGTCATGGGGCGTCAACCGACAGTTCTCGAGTACGGTCTAATAAGTCCCTAGATGATCACACCCTCCAGTTCAAATGTCTGCCAGATATATAGTCACCTCCATTCTTGACTCATCAGCCCTAGCAGTCGGACATTCTGCAAGACCCCTTTTTGGCGTTTCCCTATATCAGCATAACATTCCATCGTGACCCCTATCTGCCACACCACCACTGTTCAAAAGCACAATGTCGACCTCACGTAACCGCGAGAGACATACCAAGCACAGGTCTCACGACACCACCCCAGAGAACTCTCTTGGGAGCTCATCAGACCGAGGCGACTCCAATGTAATCCAGCAATATCAGCCACAAGAGCTGCAACAACAGCAACAATCGATCCAAGGGACAACAAGTGGCAGTCGCAGTGGTGCTCGCGCCGTCAGACTCGATATGGACTTGGATATCGACCTGCAACTGAAAGCAAAGATAAAAGGAGACATCACACTTTCTATACTGTGAGTCTTGATCACATCTTTGGGTGTGGATTTCACAGCTAACCGAGCTATAAACTGCAGGGGAGGAGACCAGAAATGATTTTCAACAATGGCTTGAAAAAATTATTTGAAAATCGATATTTTAATCTGTTAACCTTCACATGGTTCTGTTTCTAGTCTTATCAAGATGTTTCTTGCGTTCCAGCATCAAGTGTTGTCATCACAGTCAACTACCAGGTGATACCTCCATCAGCAACACGTGCGGCACCGCAAGCCCGTGAGCAGGCAGCTACTCACCATCACGTTCATCCCACCACTTCTGACAAGAGGCCTCTTTGTCAAAGACAAATCTATTTCTTACAAGATGTCAAGGCAGACTGATTTGCGACCTGATTTGCTCTTCCTGCAAATATCCGCTGCTTTTCGAACTTTCCCAGTCTGTACTCAATAAAGAGACCACTCGGTCATTACTATTCGCATCAACATCATCTCCAACATGCCCGGCACTCGGTCGCACAGGTCTAGGGGTAAACCGTCGTTCCTTAAGCGATCATCAACAAGAGGCAGTAGCAAAAATGAAACTCCGGAAATCATCCAACAACTTGCCCGCGCCGCTTTAGTTTACTCTCTCAAGCGTCTGACCAGACAAGACTCGGCCGATAAAGGGAGCACATCACGGCAACAACCTCGGTCAAGATCAGCTCACGGAGACAACCAGCCCACTGAGCGTGACCGCGGCACAACAGCCAAAGCACGAGACAGCAGCAGAGCTAGTCACCGCAGTGACCGAGACCGAGACGGCACCCGCGATGGCAACGACCTCCACGACGTAATGGGCCAACTAGCCTTTGGCATCCTCGGCTTCGGCATCCGTCATTTTCTCCATCAGCGCAAGAAGAAGGAAAGGGAGGAGAAGAACAAAATCAAACCTCCCTTGTACGCCACCACTGCGACACAAGGACCAAGGCCGTCGGGTGAATACCCATATACGAGTTACGCGGATTACCTTGCAGCCACCAGTGCCACCGGCAATAACACCACCGCCAACAACACTAGATCCAGATCACTCCCCACCGACGGTCCGGGGGCAGAAGAAATAAGCCTAGCAACAACGCTTGACTCACTCAAGAAGGAACTGCAGACTACTTTGGAGGCGTTGGAGGAACTCACTCGTAACCCGCCGTCGCATAAGAAGTGCGAGGTGCACGAAACGTTGGCGAAGAGGGCAGAGGGAATCAGGGCGTCGATAGACAATCTGGAGATGGCGGTCACCAATGTGAGGAACTTGCATCCTGAGATTGATGAGGACCGCGGTGTGCATGGAGGGGTTGGAAAAGTAGATGGGGAGGGGAAGGAGAGAAGCGGTAAGGAAGAGAAAGGAAAGGAGAAGGAAGGGGTGGATGGGAAGCGGAAGGAAGGTAAGGTCGGGAAGGAGCGAGGGGATGAGGACGGGTGGGGCGAAAGAGAGGGAAGAAGGAGGGACCGGGAACGGGAACGGGAAAGGGTGCGTAGGGATAGGGATGATAGAAGGTGGTCTAGAGATCGGGAGAGGAAGCCGAGGAGGTCGGTTGAGTTTGAGGATGATTTGGATCGGTATGGATATTCTAGGGGAAGTGGGAGAGGGGAGTACAGGTGACGGAGGAGATAATCCAGGGTGATGTCTTGATATATGTAGTCATGTCGCTGGCTACATGCACTTCTTTCTGTCTTTTCCATCGTTCGTTATAGTTTTCTCTTTTGGTGGAAAGTTTCATTGTCAGGCGGTCCTCGCCGATATATACCCAGCTATACGATCAAGCAACTATTCCCAGTCGCCTTTAACCTTTGCAACCAGTTGATCCCATCATCACCCTGCTGCGCCGCCAAATCCTTCGACCTCCAAATCTCCTGCAACATCTCCGTCGCCGTGTGCACATATCCCCATGGATACGTCCAAGGGTTCTTCGTCCAAACCGCCACCAACCGCTCCAGACACCAAGCCCGCTCATTCAAGTCGTCCGTCTCCGCGCCAACAATAAACGTCGGCCATACAGTTCCCTTCAGGTGGACATGATCTTCTGGTATGCACGAAAGATGTCCAAGAATCTCCTGCACCAAATCCTTCGGCTCTAGTAGAGGCAACTCAAGCAATCCAGCCTCGGGAACCGATAACAAGACGAACAGACAGGCTGCCGCGCGGTGTGCTGACGCCACGCTTACCCGCGCTTCCAAGTCGTCATCTGGTGGCAGGCCATTGATGTTGTACACCCATGTCTGCACGTCAAAGTTGCGCGCCTTGTGAAGCAAGGCCGCCGCGGTGGCGATTCTCTCCACCCCTCCATCCGTTTCCAACGTCGTGGAGCTGCCGCTGCATAGTTGGCTTGCAGACAGAATAATTTGGAGGATAGCCGGTGGTGCGCAATGGTAGCTGTATGCCTCCGCGTTCTGCAAGATGTACGGTAACACGACGCCGTCATCGATGGTATCTTCAGACGACCAAGTGTTGCCGCTGATGGTCGAGCCGTAGATGCGGTAGGTAAGACAATCGGCGGCGATGGCGTTGACTAAGGGGGCGATGGCCCCGTCGAGGTGTGCCCTGGTGAGGTATAGGGATGAGATCAGACGCCGGGCGGCTTCAACATGGGCTTTCCAGCCTCCTCGGCCGGAGTCGATGAGATCGAGATTGACAAGGAAGACGATGGCGGAGAGAATCATGGCCTTGTCAGTGAGGGTGTCGTCACTGATGGCGGCGCGAAGAAGGTGAAGTACCCGGGACTTGAGCATCAGAGCGTCTACTAGGGCGGACTCGGACGGTAGACTTTGACCTTGATACTTGTGAAGCGTGGATAGATGCATGGCTGCCGTTGCTAGGACGACTGACTGGAGGTAGTCGAACTTGCGAACCAAGGGGATGATGGCCCGGAAGGGATTCCGTTCCTTCTGGTCAATGGAGACCAGGTCTCGACAGACAATCGTGGCAACTGAGATGTGTGAGTGTCTGAATATTCATATGGAGGTTTATGTCATGAGTGAGAAACCTACAATGATGCATGTACCATTTTTCCTTGGATGAGAGGCCATTGAGAAGAGGGTCTGTTAGTGGAATTTTGATGAAGTTGATGGGTCTTTTGATGAGTTGTGAGCTTGACTCTTGGTCATCATCTGGTGTTTGTGGTAGAGGGTCGACACTGTTATCGATTGTTTCGGATTCATCTAGAGTTGGAGATGAGATGTCGGTGGTCGTGGTAGACGTGGTATTACTAATAGTGTTATTGGGTGTATAGTTACTAGTGACTTTTGTAATAATTTGAGGAGGGTTGCTTGGTGTTGAAACTTGAATTGGCGTGGATGACTTGACGGTTCGTGATGTGGTGGTCTTGTTAGTGGTCCTGGTGGTTGTGGTGGAGGTGGGTGAATTACAGGCGGCCCAGCGCAGGACGATGCCGTAGCCAAGACATTCCTCGCCGTTGATGGAGCATTTGAGACAGGAAGGCAGCGACTTGTCACAACGAAGACGTTTCCGATGGCAGTTGTAGCATGCCTTGGTCTTGGAAGCCTTTTGCTGGTGAGGCTTCTTTGGCGGCGTTTTCTTGGCGTGTATGTGGCCCTTTTGCAGAGCCATAGTGGTTGTTGCTGTCACCATGATTGCTGTCTTGGGAAGGTTGTTTGCTTGCCTTGCGTCAAGAGTGCCTTGTAACTGAAAAGCTGTAGAGACAAAGATGGGACTGCACAAACAGGCACTTGGCTTCTCGGCGCACGAGGTCACCCAGGTCAAGATCAGGGACTGGAGGATAGCTTTATTATTCGTGGAGGCAGATACGATGACTGAAGCCGGTATGGTAATGGGTAGATGGCCATGGGTGGTGATAGTGTAGTAGCTAGCGTCTTGGTGGTTGTGATATCAGAGACAGGAAGCTACCTTAGCTGGGTGAGGTTCCAGGCCCTCCTCAGTGAGAGGTGCTAAAAATCCTTCAGAGTCATCGATCCGGGGGCGGATGGGCTTCCCGACCGGTTCCAGCCAGTGTTTTCCCCGCCAGTGTCCGACCTGGAGTCCGGTTGAGGCAGCTGCTGCCCGGGCCATGACGGGGGCCACGGGACCGCGGGCTCCTGACGGAAACGAATATTAGGGCTATACGAAAGATACGTACCTTTTCCGCCTACATCTTGCAAGCCAAACCAAACCCAAGTACCTGCGATTTTCTTCACAACCGCTACATCAATCTCAGCACAACCCGGTATATAGCTAACCCGTATAAAAAGGCCCCTTTTGGGCGCGCTAAATTTACTGGTGAAGTCCGTTTTTTAATACAGTAATTTTTCGTAAAGTTGTAGTGAAAGTCTTAAAGAGGAGAGACTTGGGGTTGGACCAGCGACTTGGCGCCAAGAGACACTGCTTGGCCACCAGAAAAGGGCGAAGTAGAGAAGGTACGTATCTTTTATATAGCCCTAATAATCGATACCCTCCTGACGACCTTCTCCACCTTCCGTGGCCGCCGTTGGATTTAGACGGAGCTAAACCTGATTTGGAATGGAAATCACAACAGGTGCATGCATTAGCGCCATTCTAATCCGCTTGGAGCCTCACCTCACCGATTTCTTCACACTTTCACTCTGGCAAATCTGGCGAATCTCTTCACTTTTGGCCCATCTTATCAAGCCACCGCCTTGCAACGACTAACAACGACATCCGCCGACTTTTCTTTAACCTTCTGCCACCCTCGTCGCCATGGACATTCCTGACAAATGGAAACCACCCTTTCCCGCCTGTTTTCGCTTTTTCCCCCAGGGATCCTGAGATAGCGCCATCCTCTACGCCTTTGCCAGTCACCGTTCTTTTTCAACTATTTTTCTAGAACAATGATGACGGCGACAAGCGGTAGCAGATGTCGTCTTGCATGCATTCCACCCGGACTTTGGCAAGTATCCGGCTAACACTTGGGCCGGGGCACCTTGGCCCCATGAACCCCAAATTTTGCAGCAAAGTGGAGACGCTCCTCGTCCGCGATTTGTTAGCGGAAGACAAGATTCCCTCCCCATCGCCACCTCCAGGAGTTACTTTGTCTCCCTGCACCTTCATGTGTGTACGTTGGCAGAGTTCCATCATACAGAAAAAGAACGTCAACGCCCATCCTTTGTCATGGTCTCATCGCTGTTCATCTACAATATTGTTACCATTCTCGACAGTGTCACGCCCTGAAGCCGTGGACTCTGTTGCAAGATGGGCCAGCAAACACTAGAACAACAGCAACAACTACCTCAGAGCCCTTCTCATGCACAGCAAGATGTCCAAGATGACGCCGTCACCGAGTTCGATCTCGACCGCCTGGGTCGTCAACGGCCCGCTGTCTTTTCGAGCACCTTGGAAGAGGTCATGTTCTGCGGTTCCATCCTCATTTCTATGCTCATGAGTGTAAGTTTGTTCGACACCTTGGCTCGTCACCGCACTAAACTGACACATGCCATATTGTCTAGGAATACTTTGTTTCTGGCTTCAATATCATTTTGCCTGGTCTCGCCGGGGCGCTAGATATTCCCAAGGAATCCCAAACATGGCCGTCCAGCGTCTTCTCCCTCGTTACTGGCTCTTTTCTTCTGCCATTCGGCCGCCTTGCCGACATGTATGGAGCCTACTTCATCTTCACCGGCGGCCTGGCCTGGATGTGCATCTGGTGCTTGATCGGTGGCTTCAGTCAGAACTATCAGATGCTCATCGTCACCAGAGCTCTTGCCGGTCTAGGTCCCGCTGCATTCCTGCCTACTGGTTTGATGCTGCTGGGGACGACCTATCGTCCCGGCCCAAGGAAAAACCTCGTCTTTAGTCTTTATAGTGCATTCGCTCCGCTCGGCTTCTTTATCGGAATTATCCTGGGTGGTGTCACTGGCGAGTATCTTTCGTGGCGTTGGTGGTTCTTTATTGGAACCATCATCCTGTTTGTCACTGGTCTTATGGCCTATCTCACCATCCCCAATGACAGACACCAGGCTGTTGCTGCCCGCGGAGGAGCCAAGATGGACTACTTGGGTTTGTTCACCATCGTCCCGGCTATCATTCTCATCACCTTCGCCATTACCACCGGTGGCTCGGCTTCCAGTGGTTGGCGCACCCCTTACATTCCCATAACGTTTGTTATCGGAATGCTTTTCCTCGGCGCCGCCATATATATCGAGGGTTGGGTCGCTGAGCAGCCTCTGCTGCCAAGGGATCTCTTTGCCGCAAAGTATATGAAGAGGTTCACGCTTTCTCTCTTCTTTGCCTACGGAGTGTTCGGCATTTTCTTGTTTTATGCCAGTTTACAGTAAGTCCCCCTTTTCCTATGAACTGGAATGTACTTGAGCTGACCCGCTCCCTAGTATCGAAGCATTCATGGGTGCCTCAACCCTCCAAACGGCGACCTGGTTCGCTCCCATGGCTGGCGGTGGTATCGTCCTAGCCACCATCGGCGGCTTCACCCTTCATAAGCTTCCCGGTAGAGTGCTACTGATGATATCCGGATGCGGTTGTCTTGCCAGCGTCCTTCTCTTTGCTCTCATCCCCGACCATGCCAACTATTGGGCCTTTGTGTTCCCCGCCATGCTCGGAGCCACCATTGGTGTTGATATCACATACCTTGTGTCCAACGTCTTCATCACTACAAATGTACCTTCGCACAGGCAGGGTACTGCTGGCGCTCTCATCAACAGTCTAGTCTTCATTGGCATCAGCTTCTTCCTGGGTCTCGCCGATCTGGCTGTTGCTGAAAGTGAGGGCGCGTTTGACGGCGAGAACCACAGGGTGGCCTTCTGGTTGGCAGTGGCCTGTGCCGCTTGCTCTCTGCTTCTCTTCTGCCTCGTGGATCCCGGCAAGGCCGAAAGCGAACTTACCCTGGAGGAACGGATGGAAGCCGGACTTGGGCCCAAGAAGGAGCCGACTGCGTCCGGCTCGGAGTCGTCAAACCCTGCACCGGAGTCCGAATGATTTTTCTTTTGCATAGTTTTGGAGTCCATGGTTGGTTTTAGAAGGTATAGAACATCCGTCTAGGTATAGAGTTATGTCTTCAGTACATGATTAATGAGAGCACACCACAATATGTATTATTATTTGCTACAGATTGATTGCCCTTGCAGTTCAAACGCTCAAAGCTCATCCTTGAGTCTTCCCTCCTCTATCTCCTTTCTTGCTTTTTGTCGCCCTTCTCTTTGGATCCTCCTTTCGTTTCTCTTGATGGTTCGGTGCATCTTCTCCCACATCAATCGCGTGTGTTTTCCCTCTTCTGTCTCGGTGACAGCCATTGCCTCGATCTTGAATGTAATGTCTCGCTTGCCGAGGTCCCTCTTGGGCTTTGTGTGGTCCATAACCCACGCCAGAACCGAGTGGTCAATGGCTTGGGGCTTGTACTTGGCGAGATTGTTCAGTTCGCCTACGGCTCTGGGGGTTGGCACGATCAAGAAGTCTCGCATTTCCTTGGTAGAAGTACGGGGCACTCACGCTCGCATTTGCTGCCTTTCGAAACCCAGAGAGGCAGTATTTCGTATACCGCACCAGCTGGAAACACCACGATCTTGTCCTTGGCGGGAATCGGCGGGGCCTTATGAGCATCCGCTGCCTCTCCCGTCGGGGCGGGCTCCACGGTCCCAGTTACCGCATATTCTCAGAGGATTTGATTTTACTCAAGCCAATCCTGTAATTGGATCGGTCCCGAGAAACCCTGCGACCCGCATCAACTCAGTAGAAGATTGGTCGAAGGCCTTGCTAGCTCAGATATCCCCGGTGCTATACCTATTTGAGTGAAATCAAATCGGGTGAGAATTACCGGTACTTTATCAGTCTCATTCTCCGGTTTCCTGAACACAGCAAACATCCACTTGCTATCGTTCGTCTCGCTGGTATCTCGCTGCTGGTCCTCTATCCAATCTCTCACCGGTCCCGGCACATCAGCATACTCCATCACCACAATCTCACGGTCGTGTCCCTTGTGGTCAACCCCATCCCAGCTGCCCATGTAAGACCGACGACCGAGGAAGTCCTCAATTGCATCATGCCACGGAGACAATCCCCCCGGCGGTTCTGCCGGGAGATCGCTGAGTTTGTACGTTTTGGCATGAAAGGTGCCCTCGGCTCGACAGTTCACGTCAAAACCGCCCGGGTCGGTGCCGTCGTCGGGAAATGGGCGAGACCATTTGAAGGTGTCCACTACGCCGTATTCGTATATGTCCCAGTTTATGGCTGCGAGTGCAGCATATGGGATGGTGAGGGCCACAAAAAGTCGGTTGGCCTTCATTTCGGTGAAGTGAATTTTCACGGAAGAGGGAGAGGCTGATGTGATCAGAAAGGCATGTCTTTCAATTGGACTTGCGAAGAGGAGCAATGTCAACCTCCATGTGAGAGGTTGGGGGTTTATGATATACGTTTCAACATTGGTAAGGTAACCAGAAGTCGGAGGTTCCCAGAGTCATTGCGTGAACCTACCATGACACCGTCGAACCACTGGTGATGACATCTTGGTGTCTCTCGATTATAGCCTAATTGCCGCGAAGTCGCGCTCTACCCTAGATAAGCATTATATTGGCTTTCTGAAACTTCCACGTGTCCTCCTCCACTCATATATTATCCTATGTCTAATATCGCCTGGGCAGTTGCAATGCTGCGTGGAAAATTGGGTGTTTTGCGCAAGTCAAGTAAGCAACGGCAAGGAAATCCATATCTCCCTAATGCCCATAGAGGTCTGTTCATACTTTGTTCGGCCTCACATATGCCAGAACCTTCTACTTCAATCGAAAACATACTCGATAATCACTTAGCGTCAACGTCACCTTGACAGGTACACAACAGCGAGACAGCCGAGCTTGAAAGCCAACAAATCCACAAATCATAGAGTGGCTCGCAATCACTCACCGTCGCGACTATCCTGCCCATTTCCCACATTTAGTGCACACTGCGTGGAGGTGGACATTGTCGCGATACTTGGAAGGTACGGCAGACTCGGATTTCCTTCAAAGGCAGGAGCACTCAAAGAGCTTGGTATTTCTTGAGTTGAACATCTTCGCTTCTGCTTCCTTCTTTCCAATAGTTGACACTTTTTTAAGGTACCTCAACGGTTAGCTGCATTTCAGAACTCCCTATAGGTACTTGCTGAGATATGTCAGCAGTGAAAAGTTCACCTCATGGCTTTCAGTTGAGGTAATTCTACACTAGTGTAGAGAGCTGAGACAGCACGTTCACTCGGGTTTACACTCTTCACGACTCTGACAATCTAATAAACCTTCAAGTTAGCTATTAAAGTCGCTTGACCTTATGTTTAACATCAATATCCTCTTCCGTTACACATCCTTTTCGTGGCACATCATATCGCTTGATGCATGCAATGTGTGATAGCCAGGCCTGGGCTACGTAGAAGTATGGAGCAACCCCCATGACGGTCAGTCTCATCCATGCCACAAGTAAGCACTTGCGACTACCAATTTTTTTTCCACTCATAACGAAGATGCCAACTCGAATAAAGCGGAAGGACAGTTAGCTTCCTTTGCTGAAGCGAGTGTCAGCCCGATCGTCAGCACCGTGGCGTGTGGCCATGTCCAAACCTCCACTTTGGTGCTTTTGACGCGATTTGAGTTGGGTTGTAGATGGGACATCACTATACTGCTACGAGGCTAGTTGTGGAGGTTGGCCCACAGAACATCTCCTTGATGGCCGAGAATTTGCGGTATCTTGGCTTGTTTGTGACAAGACCATAGACGTTGCATGATTTTAGCACATCACACCCAGTCCAGTTCGAAGCCTGGCGAAAAGTAAAGGAGGACATTTGAGGTTGTGTTGGGAACGTTATCGCCATGGCGCTGTTTTAACCTATAAGACCAGACTCAGCCTACCGTGGTAGCAGCGGACCTTCCTCTGCTTCTCTACATCTTTCCCGAAACATTGCATATTAACTACAGCCACCTGGGCAGGCACGATGGCAACGACTACTTTGGATGCAAAGCCCCGCGCTGCGCAAGTTGACTGCCTCATGGAGGCCGGCCTCCAGTCCCAGATTCTTGTCCCCGGAGATATTGACTACCATGCTCGCCAGGAATCCTACTAGTGCAAGTCTGCCAGACTAAACCCAACATGTATTGTTCGTCCACGGTCTGCCGTAGAGGTCGCAGCAGCATTGAATACCTTGAAGCACGGAGGTCACAAGTTTGCTGTCCGCAGTGGTGGCCACACCCAATGGGCTGGGGTTCCAACAACATCGACGGAGGTGTGGTCATTGACCTTGGCCTCATCAATAATATTGCCTACGATGCCGCAACTGAGACAGTGGATCTCGGACCGGGTGCCCGCTGGAGAGAGGTCTATTCCGAGCTGCAGAAGTACGGCCGGGCGGTTGCAGGAGGCCGAGATGGAGACGTCGGCGTTGGTGGACTGCTCTTGGGCGGCGGCAACACCTACTTCACGGCCCGTAAAGGGTTCGCATGTGATAATGTGATCTCATATGAGGTTATTCTCGCTGATGGACGCATCACCACCGCCGACAAATACAAACACGCCGATCTCTTCCGCGTCCTCAAGGGTGCAGGGGGGGAATATAAAGGGGATTGAGCGGCACGCCCATGACGGCATCTTGTTCGCGGCGACAGCCATGGTCAAAACTCCCGAGCAGGAGGCATTCGTCTACCCAAAAATAAAGAGATAGATTGACGACCTGACGGAGCATGCTGCCACAATCGACGGTGGTCTTCTGGATTGGATTTATCTGAAATACGCTGACAGAAGTCAGGATGTTTTCCGTAGCTATGGCGAAGAGAACATCAGGAAGATTCGAGAGGCAGCGGCCAAGTATGATCCGGAAGGCGTTTTCCAGACCTTGTGCCCAGGAGGTCTCAAAATGTCGGAAGTAGAGTAGCAGAAGTGGCTGCAGTCCGTCACCCATCGTATATACATCAAAGTTCTGGTACAAGGGACGGATAAGCCGCTCATGAAAACGAGAATTCTGGTTTCGGAGGGTGTTTGGGAATGGGAGGTGATTGCTGGCGAAGCTATCTGTAAAAGTTGGGCAAACAGAGATGTGATGTTGGGGACGTACCGGGTTCCCCAAAGCAAATACCAATAAATTTGGTGTCATCGAACGGCGAAGCTTTGGTGAGCTGACAACTTGACCGTTGACCAAGCAAAATGGGGGTTGTCTCCGGCCACAACCATGGGCAACTGATCAAGAAATGGGCGAACAAAAAAAAGACAAAAGAAAGAAACAGTGCCGGATAATGGAAGAAGACAAAGAACCGAGAAAAAGGACGGGGCCACCCGGGGATTGAACCCGGGACCTCTCGCAACGATGCTCAGGATTGAACCCTAAGCGAGAATCATACCACTAGACCAGCGGCCCATATTTATTATTGATGCCGAGCTCCAACTTGTGTAATCATAAACAGTAATTGCAAAATGTACTCTACTCTTGAAAATCTCAGTGGCGCATATTACGATTAACGTAACTCGCTCTAAACAAGTTAGGGTAGACCGCGCACGGGCTATACTACCAAAAATTATAGTTTTTATTAAGGTTATAAGAGTTGTAAAATAAGCGCGAATATTAGAATAATATTATCAAGTAACGTATAACTATACCTTGTATAGCTCCTACTATAGAAATTGTAGCTAGATATACCGTGCCGTACTATAAGTATCCTGCACGTATAGAATTTAACTTTAGGTATAGCTTTACTTTATCCTATATCGTTAAACTTCTACACACTTCCCTTTTTCTCTCTTTGTATAACTGTAACGGCAGGCACAGCCATGCCGTTATAGATCTCATTAAAGGAATGGTTTAGGTGCAGGTTCTGAGCTTGGCTGGCTCCCTCCTAGAGTTTAGGGTATAAAACTCGGTCCTTCCTATCGAGCCTTCCCTTTTAGAGTTTCCTTCCTTCCTCAATGTCACGGGGCTGGCGCCCAGAGGTAATGCCTAGCTTGCTGTAAGGGGTGCAGCACAGTTGACACAGATGCTAGCCAAAAGAATCGATAAGTATCGGTGGGCTGGAAAAGGCGACAACGAAAAAGGGCTTGATTGTTGTTGTCTAATAGAAGAGGAGAAACGGAAACTAGGGCAGCCTAAATACCTGGAAGGGAGTGCCGGTGAATGGGCGAGGCCAGTGAATGGGCGGCCCAGGGCACGGACTTCCAACAAAATCTCCTTATAACCAAATATCACGGGGCAAGGCGAATAGTAGGGGGTAGATTGGATATGCGTAATTATACGAGGAGAGGAGAAGAGAGGTGTACACAGGTCTGGCGATATAGGGCAAGGCACGAAGGCCATGCCCAGAGCCGGGACCAGCGTACGTGTATATATACGTGATGTACTATTGGCCAATAGCGGCAATAGTACGGTACGAGGCTCAATTGCCTATAGTAGGAACCGTGCATGTATTAAGCATAGTTATAGGTAATCCTATAATACTATTTCCTTGTAAAATAAATTCTATAACTTCAAAATCTATATATATATATATATATATAAAATAATAAATTATCCCTCAATCCCCGTCTTCAAACTCCTCTACCCGTAAATAAAATCCTCCGCTCTTGAATTCCCGGATCCTCCTTATATCTTCAAACTCTTATATTATCTAATTATTATTACCTTACTAATAAGTCCCCGCCTCCAACCTATCCTCTACGTTCTTCGTAGGAAACTTCTTCCCCTATTATATTTCCGATAATTTCCTAAAGATTTTACTAAAAACTTCGTCCAACTTCCTTATATCCTCTACGGATAATACTTCTAATTTATAAGGGATTACCTCGACTATTAGGCCTAGCTTTAGGGTTGGGGCTATTTACTATTCAGTCGTAATATTTATAATAGCGGCGTTAATTTACTCCTTTAGATCGGTAATATACTTAGAGCGTCTCGGGGCCGGGGCTAAGGTCGGTAATATTGGGGGCGGAGCCGGTAGTGCGGCCTAGGGGATTCGGAGTGCGCGGGGCGTTAAAATTCGTAATATTAGGGCTAAGGTTCGCTCTTGCAATATAATTATAATTTCTAATTATTTTTACACCTTTAGTAGGATCGGCGCTTCGGGGTAATTACTATAGAAAGTTATAATAGCCTTCCTTACGTTAATTATATTAATAATTAATTCTTTAGTAAGGTCGTAATAAATCTATATTATTATATAGAATTAATAGTAATTACCTCCCTTCTATTTACAATTTCGAAGTTCATCGAACTCCTATTTTATTACTTCTTTATAATTATTAATTTTAATTATAATTCTACCTTTATTAATTTGTATATCCCTTTAAATAGCGGTTTAGCCGGATAAACCTTTCCTATATAATTTAACTATAAAAACGTAGAAAATTGGGGAGTATTTTATATTAGTGGGTAAAATAAATTTAATATTGTAGGAGTATACCTATTCGATTTTAAAAGGGCCCTCCTAACGAGAGTATAATTTATCATAAGGGCGCCTATTAATTAAATTAATCGTATTCAGTATAATTAAATCCCTAAGCCGGTGCTTCGGTATATCGAATCGTTTTTTATTAATATTAATTTTATAATAATCTTATACCTTCTTTATCGAAGTATATATATAGTCCTAAATAGCCTCGAAGCGAACTACTAATTCGTTAGCCTTTAAATATTCCTTTTGTTAAGCTGACGAAAATTGTAAAGGGGTAACTAAAGAAGGTTTAATACCTATACGTAAATAAAATCTATAATTGGCGAAAAATAAGGTAATTCCTGTAATTTCTAAAATTATATTATTACCAGCGAATTCTACTAATAGTAACTACCTAACTTAATCTATTTATACCCAATTTACGAAAATTCGCAAATACTATTCTATTTCTGCATTAATATACTCTATTTAAACATTCGTTTAAGGGTAAAAAGCGGAACTAAGTAGCCTCTTAATTACTAATCTTTTATAAATTATAAATTAGAATATTAATATAAATTAAAAGCCTTTATTAAATATTATAATACTAAGGAGGCTATAAAGGGTATATACCTATTTAATAAAGTAGTTAATTAATTCCTTAATTTCTATAATTTCGGTAGCAATATAATAACGTATTTTAATTAATCGATCTATTATAACGGTAATATATTTAAACTTTTAACCTAAATATAAATTTTCTGGGAATAGGGAAATATAATCGACCGAAATATTAATTTAAAATACAAAAGAGGTTAATATTAATTTAAAATAGCTTACCTTAATTCTCCGCAATACTTTAATTTTCAAATAAATTAAATAACCCTAATAATAAACCTTAACGGTTTCTACTATGCTAAATTAATACTAATATTCGTTTATCTATACCTAGGTCTTATCCTTACCCGGGTAGCCCGCTATCGGAAATAAGTACGTATAGTAGATTGACTATAAGTAAATAATTATATCGTTAGGGTTAATAAATACTCTCCCCTTATAATATACTTTGCCTCCTATTATCAAATACTCCGCGAATACTACCTTTAATTTTTTTTAATATAAGGGCGCTATTTAAAACGGTTCGGGTCCCGTAAGCAAACTACTACTTCCTATATTACTATAAATTAAGTATAACTTTTCTCAATAATATTATCCATAGACTTATCTAACTCCTCTAAGGCGTCCAAAGCTAGAAGGAAAACCTTCTTATCGAAATGCAAATTATTAACGTTTATAACCGACAACTTAAAACAACCGTCTTCGAAACGAGCGGGGTTAATTAATTTACAATTCCTAACTTTTAAATAATAATCCTCCATATCCAAAGGTATATCTTCGGGCTTCCTATTCAAAATATTAGGGCGAATTTTCCTCGAACCCGGGGTATAACGGATTAAAAAGTTAAAGTAGAATAAGAATTATAATTAAATATATATAGCGAGGGATTAATTATTTATTTATAGTAAAAGTCTTTAAATTCTTATATTTATAATAATATTAAACAGTTATTAAGCGCCTTCTAATTTTAACCTCTATTCTTCTAAAGCTGTAATAATAGTTAATAATTCCTTATTATAAATATTATAATTATATTTTTAGGTGGTATACTTTAATAAAAAGTTGGTTATAGGGCAGAATACTCCGTCGTCCCTATATTAAGAGAGGGTGCTACTTAATACCTAATTGGAAGCGTGTATTTCTATAACTATTTTCTTAAATTAGTCGTATATACGTAAAGTAGGTCCGCTATTAAAAGCGGCTTTTAATATTTCGAAAGCGGACTACTAAATTAAAATTTATACCTATTTAATATTTTATTTCGTAAAATCGTATAATAGGGCGGCTATAGCTAAAAATCCCTTAATAAAGCGCCAATAAAAATTAGCAAAACCTAGGAAACTCTATAAAAACTTCTTAGAAATAGGGGGTTGCCAATCGGCAATAGCCTTAACCTTTTTTAAATCTATCTTAATATTTCTAAACATAATAATTAATCCTAAGTATTTAGGCTTTTTAATATAAAATTCGTACTTATCAATATCTACTTATAGGCTAACTTTAGCTAAGCGTTCGAAAATATCGTTTATATATCGCTTATAATCCTCTTTATTATTAAAAAAAATTAAAATATTATCGAAATAAGCGGTCGTATAT